AATCAAGAGTTGACCTCCTTAACTAGGTCCTGAACAGTGTTATAGTTCTAAGATTTCTTGAAATCCTGCCCTGCTGATTAAGTGAAGGCAAAGCCTAAGTACTTCCTCCATCATCTCTGACCCACTCCAGCGACGGAAAGCCATCTGCCTGAGCCCAGAACAAGTCAATGCTCTGTGCGGTGAACAGCCACTCCTCCCACCATTCCTGCATTCTATCCAAACACTGATGTCGGCCTCAGTCTGCAAGCGACTGAGGGAATGGGCAGTTTCTGCTGCAGCTGTGGGAAACCCTAAACATCTGCAACTCACTTTAGAGTTTTCAAAGCATTTTCCCTCATATATCGTGCTCCTTCTCATACACAACCACAAGTTAGAGGGCAATTTAATGTAGTGTGTGTTTTTATGTATTCAATCTGTATCACCATCCCTCAGCCTGTTAAATAAAGCTGAAATGTCATTGGTGAATGTTTATTGGAGAATTGTGGGAACATTTTTATGTTTTCTTAGAAACAATCAATTAAAATTAAAAACCATTTCCAGCCTTATAAGATGAGAGTTTGACTTCAGATGTTTCAAAATTTGCCCAAACCAGTACCTACATTGTTTTGTACTATTCAATCCAATGAAACGGTGATTTATTGAGCACTTCTTGGCTGTTCTAGGAGGATCTTATGGGGGTCTGTGGAGAACAAAGACAGTCAGGAGACGGGATAGGGGGTGAGGGACCCTATGAAATATGGGAGCGTGGGGTGCCGATGGAGCACCAGGAGGGGTGCTAACCCATCTGGGAGAAGAAAGTGTCTCCTTTGGCTTTACAATAAATAGCCATCACATCTTCACAGTATGTTAAGGGAAACATGCTGTTTGGATTATGGAAAGTGGTGTGAAAGCATCCTGTTCAAGGAAAGCAAATGAAAACATGCATATTTCCCTCTTGGCTTTGCCCTTGTTCATCATATTTTCTTCCAAGTCCCTCCCTTATCTCCTCATGGGCTCTGACTCCTCATGAGCTGCACAGGATGCTGGCTCTAAATAGATGGCTGGGAAAGGGCCTGAAAATGCCTGTGTCATGCCAGGTCGTGGGAGGCAGTGGTGAAGGAAAAGGCACCCATAAAACAGCCAAGGCCAGGGATAGGCAAGCCCAAAGGGCCCAGACCTTGATATTGATCAGACCACTCAGCTGAGATGTTGCTTTTGGGATCCTCTACTTGCCACCTCTCCACCCCAAGGCCAAAGTGACGCTTGTGTTCGATGATAATTTCTGTTCAGTTGTCACCTCTATTAAACTGCATGTGTAGTTCAAGAATTTTCTTTATCTCCAGTGTCTGCCATCATGCTTGGCTCAGAGTATCTCTCAGAAAACCTTTGTTTCTATTTTTTAAATTAAAAAAATGCTGGAAATTCTCAAATTAAAGTAAAAGATACTGTTAATCCCACTGCTTTTTAAAAATATTATATAGACATGTAAAAGTTCCCCTTTCATATCCTTCCTTTTTCTTTTGCTAAAACACATAGATCAATACATATAGTAAATGCTGGTTGAATGAATTAATAAATGAGTGAATCAATAAATCTAAAGAATTGAAGAGACTGAGAGAAAAAAATGCCAGAAGTTAAGCCAACAATCAAAAGGATCATCCCCATCTCAAGATGCTTAACTTCATCACATCTGCAAAGTCCCTTTGCCATGTTTCTGGGCATTAGGAGGTAGACTTCTCTGGACCCCATTATTCTGTCTGCCACAGAGCGAGGGGGGCAGAGAGACAGAAGATCTAAGTGCTTAATGGTCCAGACTGTTCTTTTAAAGAGCACCTTGACCTCATACACTTTCCTTCTCTGGATCTTAGTTTCCTTATTGGTAAACTGGGGAAATTCATTCAACAAGTGTATTATTAGCCACACACATGCTAAACTTAAGGAATCCTATCTAATAAAAGGGTAATGTGCAAATTAACTGTCACTCCATCACAAAAGATGGCAGCGCCCATAGCCACAAGATGGAGGTGCCCAGTCCTCTCAGCCCTGCCAGAGTCCCCCAGTCCCGGGGGGGGCGGGGGGGAAGACAGCCACTGAGAGTGGGCAGTGTGAGCGGCCTGGAGGAATGCTTGCTTCATTGCCGCGGGTACAAGGCAAGCGTTCCACCCCAGATGCGGAGGGCCTCTGTGCAGCGGGCACGGAACAGTTTGGGGAGAGGGGGTACCTTTCCACGGCCGGGCGTGGAATGCTTGCATTGCGGAGACTCTTACAGCAGGGAAGAGGAAGTCCCACCCCCACAGAATCAGCCAGAATCAGCCATTGGTCAGACAGCTCTCAGTGGCCTGACAGCCAGGACTCTTATTCACCTGCATCACTGACTGTGACAGCAGGGAGGTGGGACTATGTCTAAAGAGCAACCGAAAGAAGCCAGTGTTATTGACCGAAAATGTCTGAAGACCAAGGTGTGTCTGATCTTTCAAGATCAGGCAGGGGCAGTTAGGGGTGATCTGGCAGGCAGGCAGAGGGGTTAGGGGCAATCAGGCAGACAGGCAGGTGAATGGTTAGGAGCCAGCGGTCCCAGATTGTGAGAGGGGTGTTCGACCGGGGATATAAGTAATATAAGTAAAATATATTAGATGGTGCTAAATGTTGAGTGGTGTGTGAGGAGACCAGTGTGTCCTGAGCAGAGCAATGTTGGGGGAAGAGAGGCTGGAATGAAGAATGCAGATCATTTGGGTCCTATAGGTTTGGGGAAGGACTTGTGTTTTCTCCCAGTGACATAGAAAGCCAGAGGAATGACTATGATTTGACATGCCTTTTAATGAGTTCCTCTGGCTGCTGATTGAGAGACTAGACTGAAGGGGACAAGGATGGAAGCAGGGAGATGTGTTAATAGCTTATTCTCTTGACCTTCACCTTTTTGTACACCTTGTTCAACTACAAATCCAGGCTTCCTTCATGCAGTTACCCCTCTTATGAGCACCTTGCTCCTCTTTCCAATTAAAAATCCCAGCTCAGTACTCATCTCAGAGTTGTAAGGGCATCCGAGGAGCTCATTATCCTTTGCCCCCGTTTTTGGATGTTGAAACTGGGCTCAGACCCTGTCCAAAGTCATTCAAATAGTAGGTAGTGGAGCCAGGACTGTCTCTAACGTGTGAATTGAAGGAAATTAAAAGATCTTCTTGATACAAAGATGTTTTCCCTGAAATTCTGTTTGCTAAATGCAGTCTCCCCCATTAAATTGTGATCCAAAGAGCGTGGAGATCTTATTCAGCTTTGTGTACTTAGCTCTTAGCATGGTGTCCGGCACATGACAGGCACTCAGTATTTGCTAGATGAGTAGATAATAGAAAGGAAAGCCCTGGAGAGTCTGTGTTTATGTGTTGGTAACATCACATCTCCCTACCCCACCCCACCCCACCACTTCCTGGTGTTAAACGTCAGACAATGGAAAGGTCTAAGACTCTATGAGAGCAAAATTGAGTGTTCTAGGAAACGATACCTTACTTTTTTGTTGTTGTTAATCCTCACCCGAGGATATTTTCCCATTGATTTTAGGAGATAGTGGGAGGGAGGGGGAGAGACAGAAAGAGAGAAACATGGTTATGAGAGAGACATATCGAATGGTTGCCTCCTGCACATGCCCCAACCAGGGCCAGGGATTGAGCCTGTAACCAAGGTACATGTCCTTGACTGGAATCAAACCTGGTACCCTTTGGTCGACGGGCCGACACTCTATCCACTGAGCCATACCTGCTAAGGTGATACCTTATTTTTTAACAACAACAACAACAACAAAATGTGGCACCAGGATTGGAGTGGGATCTTCCTAACACAGTAGCCATCAGAGCAAGAGAGCCCCTTCTTTTCCTTCCCTCCTTGGTTGCCAAGGATAACCGAGATAAAATAAGTTCTAAAGGGGTGTTTTTATTTGAGAAGAAACCCCAGTCCCATTTCCTGTGACCTTCTGTGCCCTAGGCATGTGGGCCTTGTTCTTACTGAGGTGAAACTAGCAGTGACAATATAACTGATAAGTGTAGCCAGGTCTGGTGTGGGAGCTGTGCCTGTGACTGGGAGAGAGGCCCTGAAATGTGCATGCTTGTTCTGTCTGTGAACTTGTGGACTCATACTGTTATCTAACTGCCAATATTTTAAAACTTGGGGGACTTTACAGTACCATTTCTGTGCTCTAGAATGACAGCTATCCTGTTATATTTTAACAACTTTACAAAAAATCTTCCTCGCTATACTCAGCTTCTCCATGGTGAAATCCATGTCTTTATCCTCTGCATCCTCAGTACCTTAGCTGTCCAGGTTAATAGTAGGTGTGGGAAGGGAGGAAGAAAGATGGTAGTGAGGAAGGAAGGAAGGGAAGGAGGAAGGAGGGAGGGAGGGCGGAAGGGAGGGAGGGAAGGAGGAGGGAGGGAGAGAAGAATGCTGGCTTTCCAATTCCATTTGTCTCTGAGGTTTCAGAGTGGGAACTAGGCAACTAGAGCCAAGAAAAGAAGGTGAGACAGATGGGGACATATAAAAAGAAGTATACGTGGTACCTGTAGTGACACAAGATTACCTTCTAGTCTTTAGTTTTATGCAGTAAGCATGTATTAAATATTTTACATGAGTGAATTGTATGAATGAATAAAAAAGTATTGGCACCTTTGCCTAACAACCTTTACATGGTTCTCCCATCTCCTCCAGTTCTTACTCTGCCTCCAGGCTCTCTCCTCTGGCACTAGCTCCCAAACACCCCCTATAAAGCATACGATAACACTAGAAAACTCATTAATCTACCTTTGTCTTATTATCTAATGACTTTCTCACTAACTGCTCTCTTCAAGTCAGTCACAGTTCAGGTTCAATTTCTCCAATACTTTCCATCCGAGACACAGTCTGAGTCTTCCACAGATTGACAATGTTACAAGTAAAGAATCACTGAGGTCCCAGCAGGACCATCTGTCACAAGGGGAGGATGTTTCACCTGTCAGCCTTGTAGGTGTTATGTCCAAAGTACTGGAAGATCCTTGGGTTAAAAATGGGACACCTGCAGGAGCATACACTTACAGAATTCAGGGCTGGAACCTTGATAATCAGTTGGTTCAACCCCTCCCATTTTTTTTAGATAAAAAGCAGGCTGAGAAGTTAAAAAACTTCCCAGTGTCACCATGCTAGTTATGGCAGAGTTGGGATTGGGAATTGAGTCGTGTTCTTTTCAGTAACCTGCTCCCTCCTGGAATGCAGTCTCTTCTCCTCTGTCTTGCTTCCCATTGTCTCAACCCTCCTAATGGAAGCTGATCCTCTAGGATGCAAAACTGGTTTGGATGTTTTTATTTTTTAATGATTGAATCCTCACGTGAGGATATGTATTTATTGATTTTTGGAGAGTGGAAGAGAGAGAGAGAGAGAGAGAGAGTTAGAGTTGTGAGGAACATTGATCAGGTGCCTCCCATACGTGCCCCCACCTGGGATCAAACCCACAACCTAGGTATGTGCCCTGACCGGGAATAGAACCTGCAACCCTTTGGTGCATGGGATGATGCTCCAATCAACTGAACCATCTGGTCAGGGCTGAACAAATCCTTAAAGAGAGATGCTGGCAAACAGAAAACTTGATGATAAACAGGGAGATGATGCAAGAGAAAGGGCTGAATCCAGAAATAAATCATATCTTCACATAGTGTTTACAAAATTGTGTTTTGAATAATTTCCATAGAAATTATTTTACCCACCACAGGAATGCTGCTCCCTCCCACAGGGATTTGACCAAACAGAAAGAGAAGCAGAATGAAGGAAAAGCAGTAATTTAGATTTATATATAAAACATTAGTTGGAACCTAAGTAATAACCCTCGACTAATCAGAATATTTTATGCATTCTGCTTTTTAGTGGAAAGAGCAAACCACAAGAAAGCAAGCATATATCAGAGATTTAGAAAATGTTTCCAGGGATTATTTTAGGCTTTAAATTTTTCCCCCCAATTCCCTGCACTGTCTATCTTTAAAATATCTCACCGCACACCTCCCTCTTTCCCCTCACATGTGTTCATCTGTTCATTTAATCAACCTGCCAATATTTATCGAGCTTTCCTCTGATGTCAAGTACTCTTTTGGTCAGAGTTGAAAATGTGGTCTTGCCTTCAAGTTTAATGCCTGGTTAGAAAGTTATCCTAAGACTACTCAAGATTTTTATCACTTTTTTCACAGTTATATTTCTAGTTCTGTACTAAATATTTCCATCTGGCCTTCCAGATCCACTGTCTACCATTTTTGCATCCTGTTTTCTGGGGAACAGTGGGGGAATGGTGGGGGGCGAGAGGGAAGGACTGACCTTTATGGTTCCGATAAACAAGTTCCTTTGCCCTGAGGTTCAGTCAATGGAGAAATCAAAAGATCAGAAGATCAGAGGGTGGCAAGAGAGAAGCAGGGCTGTTGCCTCCTCCACCCCCAAGACACACCTCATTCCCCACACCTGCCAAGTTGTGGGGGGACAGTGGCTATATTCCTCTCCTAAAGACCCCAGAACCTATTGGATAACCCTCTCCTGGAACTCTCATGGATTAGCAGCTGTCATACAAATCACTGTGATTGCCAATTACACAATAACGAGTACGTTTCTGAGAAACAACAGAAAGCAACACAGTTGGAATGAAGGAACTGCTACCTAAAGTAGCCAGAGAGAATGAAAATAGGTCAAAACGCTCTTCCTACTTACCCTCTGAAAAGAGATCTGTGGAAAGCCACTTCATGTTCACAGTTGGGTGAGGGAAGTTTCATATTCTCTGTCTTTCATACACCTAACCCTGCCATGACAAGATGACATGGAGGGGCAATTTTACTTGGTTGAGAGCAGCTGCGTGGTGCACAGTCTTGAGAACATGTTGTGACCCATTCTTACTATTTGTATTTCGGTATCTGCCATGGCAAAACTGAAGCTGTCTTACTTTGGGCACAGCATGAGAAAGCAGGCTTCTCTGGGAAAGACAGTAATACTGGGGACAACAGAAAGCAGCAGGAAAAGAGGAAGACTAAATACGAGGTGGACTGACTCCATAAAAGAAGCCACAGGCATGTGTCTATAGGACATTGTGGACATCACTCATTCACAGGGTCACCAGGGGTCGGAACTGACTCAAATGCATGTAACACACACACACACACACACACACACACACACGCCTGACATGGACAAGAGTTCAGGTGACATGCTTTGCAATATGGATTCTGACTGCAGTATCTATCTTTGCATCTCTAAATCAATCTAATTTGGAACCAAACGGAAACTAGTTCCTAGAACCACAAGAGTTACAATGTATGTCATCTAGGCCTCCTATTTTTTACTCTTTTCACAAAAAGTACATACAGGTTAAATGATTCACAGAGATCAGTAATGGGTCTAGCACAGTGATTTTTCAACCTTTTTCATCTCATGGCACACACAAACTTATTACTAAATTCTGCAGCACACCAAAAAACATACTATATTTTTTTGCCAGCCTGGCAAAAAAAAATAGGTACAATTTTGATTCATTCACAGCAGATGGATTTTTTATTTTATTTTATTTGACAATCTAAGGGAAGAGAGGTCAGTGCCCCTTACTAGTCAGGTATTGCATGTTTTAAAAATTCTTGTGGTACACCAGCGTGCCTCTAGCAGCACACCAGTTGAAAATTGCTGGTCCAGCAAACAAATTTTCTCTGAGTTCATGCTCAGTTCTACTTATTGAAGACAAAAAGTAAAGAAAAACATAGCTGATTACAACAGTCAGTGGGTTTTAGAAAGTCCAAGGGAATCTAACTGGTGGAGATGGGATTTGACTGAGACAGTGAGCTTAACACCCTCCCTGTTTTCAGAGAGATCAAGATATCTTCTGATTTATTTATTTTTTATTTATTTATTTTTTTTAGCAAGATCAAGATCTAAGCAGTAGGTCATGGCTAGGATCCCAGCATTACACCTGACAGACAGTGTGTGGGAAGGGACCAAATGTAGCTTGATTACATAGACGAAACAGAAGAGCTGAGCTAAAAGACACTGCCGGAAGCTCTGGGGACACCTTGTTATATTCCTTTTTGTAAAAAACCTCCGAAGTGGGAAGCCTGTTCATCCCAGTTGGGAAGTGGCTGTGAACAAAGGGCGGCGATTTAAATATAGAGTGAGTGTAAAGATAACACATAGATTCTGTCTTTAGGGTCACACCATCTGGAAAGCTATGGCATGCAGAGACAACACAGTAAAATGCTCTTCTAAACATTAATTTGCTAATTTCCAAGCTCCACTTCCTCCATGGAACACATGTCTTAACACTGAGGGTGAACAGTGGGCCTAGGGGATATTGAAATTAGTCTCTTACCTTTCTCCAAAAGTATTCTTTCCATCCGAGATCCACAATTTATTAAGGGAGCAACTCTCCATATTCTTCGAAGACTTGTACTCTGACAACCTGACAAAAAGTATCAAGAGAAAACATTCAATGTGAACAGGGATTCCAGGGCCTGGAACATTCCATGTAATCCATCCCCCTCGTGGTTCTGCACCCTAAGGACTCTAGAAGGAATGGAGTCAGTTCTCTGAAGTTCAACATAGGCAAGTTATCCACCTAGGTCTGCTCTGACGCTCCCCACCCTCCCCACCACCTCCCAACCCGTCAAAATGACCATCATTGCAGAGTAAGACAGAGTCCCTAAGGTAAGAAGTTAAATCTGGATAAAACTATGGCCTTGGCCCTTGATTTTAAGGAAAAGGTATTCTGAGAAAATTTCTAGTTTGCTCTCCACATCACCCAGTTTCTCCCTTAATTTTGCTAGCTGACACCTTCCAGGAAAAAAAAAAAAAAGTCGTAGTATTGTAATGCCTCCCTTAAAACCCCTAAGTAGCTTTCCCAAAGACCAGATCAGTCTCTGATGATTATCCTCAGGCAGAGAAAGGGCTATAATTTGCGCTTCCTCAACAACAACCAGGGAAAGGTTGAGGGTGGAGAGATGAGAGCATCAGCCCTTTAGTAATTAGCCATTTCGTTGCTCTGGGGGTGAAGCATGGCACAAGGATGTGTGTTTCTGTTAAGCCTTTCCCCTGGACCAGCTCTAGCTGTAACTACTCAGCTTCACAGAGCTGTCACTGAAAGTAGGGTGCTCATCTGGCATGGCTGGTGTGACTCAGTGGTTGAGCGCCGACCTATGAACCAGGAGGTCACGATTCAATTCCTGGTCAGGGCACATGCCCAGGTTGCGGCTCGATCCCCAGTGTGGGGGGTACAGAGGCAGCCAATCAATGATTCTCTCTCATCATTGATGTTTTTATCTCTCTCTCTTCCTTCCTCTATGAAATCAATAAAAATGTTTTGTTTTTTTTAAAAAAGGACACTTGTCTGGAAATTAAAGTTCTTCCTATTCCTGCTCTAATTCCTTGTGTGATTTTTTGTCAAGATAATTGATATCTTTGGACCAGCCTTGTCAGCTATAAAATGAGGGGTGGAATTAGAATTAAGACAAAGGTGAGAAAGAACAAATCTCCAAATCATGATCATGGTTTCTCGTACACCAGTAGTTTAATGACTCTTGGAAGTTATCTCACTCAGGGGCAGACTCTGCCTCACTTTAAGTCCTTATAATGAATCAAGTATAAGACAGTAAGACCAGGGAATGATAGTTGTACCCAAAATTATGAAAAGAAGGGTTTGCTTTCATTGTGGAATCTATTCCACTATTTTAAAAACATATTCAATATAAGTTAAAGGTCAGAGGGGAATGGACTGTGCCTTAAGTAAGTTTTGAACACAGATGCCATCTAGTCTCTGCATTCTGCAAAATTCTTCTTTAAGTGAATAAATGTGTAGGATAACTCTCCATTACCTTGATCAGCATCTAATACCAACCTGACACTTAGAATTAAATTAGAGAAACAAAATTGGATACTTTGAGTCTTGAGGGCTGATTATACTATTGGAGCTGGGAGTAGATTTAAACTCTTTCCTTATCCCATTTAAATCTAACTAGATATAAACTCTCCATTACTGAGGAACAGAGGTGTGTCTGCAGAGGTGGAGGTTCCCCTTGATGTTCTTGGACAAGGAAACCTAATCCTTTCTTCTGACACACATGGTTGCAATAGAAAGTGTTCCCCAACTGCCAGTCTGGTTTTAATCTATTGTTTCAAGCAGGACAGGATTTGCAGGGAATGTGAAGAAAAGGGCAAAATTACCAGAACTTACTATAAAATAAAAGTGTTGATGAGAAATCAAATTTTAAACAAGTGTTCAAAATTGTAAGCATGAGTCTATTATATAGCCATACAGTGCATACGTGTATGACTATTAAGAGTTTTTAATTGTGAGTCTATCTAAAGTCTGCTTCCAATACAACATTTGTATCTCATTTGACGAAAATTCTTTGGCTTACCAAATGATAGCAATGGTAAAATATTGCAATAAATACAATGGTGCTTCATTTAAACAACACTCTTGCACAATGAGATATTCCATAAGTGAACTTCCCAGGTAACCAAACTAACTCTGCATTATATAAACTTTAAAAATGTTAACCGTTTTGTATGGAAACATTTCAAAAGTGTATTATATATTTTTTCTTTAAAAGATGCACCCAACAACATATCTTTTCCTGAAGGTTCAGGATTAGCATTTAAAATCCTTATTAAAATATGCTGAATATACTGTACTTCTTAGAAGAGAACAAGATGGTGAGCTTATTTGATGGTGATCTTTTTGGTGATACTCTCCCCAACACCAAAAGGTTTCAGAATGCTGCTGTAAAAAACGACAAAAGCAGACAAAACTAGCTTGCTTTTAATGGATCTAATGTCTTTTCTGCTGTCAGCTGTCCCTTCTGGCATGTTAAAAGCCTATCAACCTCTGAAAATTAATCATGTACTTTGTCAAAATAAAATTTAGATTTAAAAGATAAGCCTACTGTATGTAAGGCACTCTACTACATGCTGGGGGAAATGTAAAAAAATACAAAATATAGTCCTGTCCAAGGAGCAACCTTGCTGGCAGAGGGACACTCAAGTCATCAGGTCACCACTATGGTGGGAAACACAACTTACTACTTCTAAGTGTGAAAATAATGTACCTAAAAAAAATACAGGTATTGAAATGATTACACGTGTGTTCTGATATACCTTCTTCAATGGGAGTATGTCTCACATGGAAATATCAGTCATGTGAGTCTTAGCAGATAAAAGACGAAAATTGCTGCATGAGGAAGTAGAGTAGGCAGGCCCTTCGTCAGCTATCTGCTGTAACCCTCATCTTATTTTTAGGCTTTATTTTACAATCCAGATGGTGTAGATGTCATAAATCTAATCTTACTAATTCCTAAGGTCACTGAAACTAATTAATAACATCTGTTAAAAAAAATACACAACACCCTGTATTTTAATTCTTTGCTGGGTATATGAGTACAAAACATTTAGACATTTTATAAAACTGCATATATACAAGGGATACTGTATATCGTTTTAAAGATCATCACTTCCACTGGCCATATCTCTTTCCTGGGTTTCAGTATTACTACCTTTGGGGGTTTTTAAAGTATCTTTTGGTTACACTGACTTTTATTCCACAAACGCTACCTGGTTTCTCAGACTTCCTTGGTTTCAATGACCATCTGACTCCTAGTTCAGACCTCTCTTCTGAGATCCAGACAGACCTATCTATCTAATGGGCCTCGCATTTGGGAGGACTATAAGCACCTCAAATTTGACAGAGACAAAGCCCCCTCGTCATTCCTACCATCCCTTCCCCACTTATATTACACCAATTATGCTTGAACTTCACCAGTGCTTTGTACCACACTTAGGAGATTTTAATGTATGGCTTTAATTTATAAATGTTGATTTAACCTGTTAGATTCCAGTTCCTTTAAGAGTACGGGCAGCCTTATTCCATTTATCTCCTACTTCTCCCTCTGGAAATGTGGTCATTTTTAGAGTTTGTTCAATGGATACATGTAACAAAAACAGAAAGGAATTCTGACGAAATCTCTGCGTTCTATTTTTACTGCTATCGGTCTTCTATGTCTGGGAGCGGTGGGTGCATTAGCAGAAGCAGGAGCACTGCGCTAACTCTCCTCATAATTGAACTGAAAGCAGGAAAATGCTTCTACCAGGTCTCACCTTCTCCGGAGGCCTTCCTTGGACGGGTCTCAGTCCCGCCCTGACCACCCCTCCTCCCCGATCTTGGTGTGGGCTTCTGCGACAGCCCAGACACTGCATCGTGTATGTGTCTACTCCCCATAGGCCGTACACTTCTCGAAAGAAAGATGCGTGTCTTTCTTGGTCCCTTCAGTGCTGTGTCTGCAGCCCGGGTGGAATGAAGCTACACAGGTCTCAACAGAGGACTCGCTGCTCTCTAACAGGACTGCGAGGCCCCATTCCCACAGAAACTTCTTTAAAGCTGCCTCTGGGGGGCTAGGGTCCCCAAAGCAACTTCCTAGCCTTTCTTCCGGAGCCTCTCCCTCCAGGAAGCCAGTGCAAAGATGAGGTCTCCAAGGGAAACACTGAAGCTCAGCTCAGCTCAGCCCCGCCCCGTCTCCGTCCCCGTCCCCACCTGCTCTGCAAAGACCGGACGGTCCACCGCAGGGCCCAGCGACCCGCCCCCGAAGGCAAGAGCGCAGGCGCAGCAAGCAGAAGAGCAGCGAACTGCCACTGGCTCTCCGAGCAGATGTCACTCAAGACAAGAAAGCTCCGCCCTCCTCAAGATGGCGCTGCGCTCAATGCGGAAGACGCGTGGGTGCTGGGGCTTCATCCGGGCACTTCATAAAGCACCCGAAGCTGCTCCTGCTCCCCAGGTAACCAAAGCTGGCCCTTCTCCCGCTCGTTTTCCATCCTCCTCCTACGTTCTTCTCGCCTCCCCTCCCTCCTTCCCTCCTTTTGCTTCTCCCCCCCCCCCCCCCCCCCCCCCCCCCGTTTCCTCTGGAGAGTACCCGGTCGCTTCTCTTCTAAAGTTGTCTCCCTTAAGACTGCCCTTCTACCTGGAGCGTGGTGACGTTGCAGGGATGCGTGATGACGTCATGCGCCCCGGGTGGGAGGGGCGTACCGCCGCCCGCGCACTGGGACGGCCCACCTTTCGGTATCTTTGCGGTCTTACCGTCCTTTCCTAACCGCCAGCCTGGGGCCCAGGAGAAATTAGGGAAGTCTGGTTAGTGATGGGGAGGTTTCCGTTGGCGCGGCGCTGGAGCGAATGTCGGTGCGTTTCCCGGTGTTTCCTCTCCTTCACCTCAAAGGAGATTTGCCCAAGTGCGTGGTCCTGTCCTGGGCCAGGCAGCACTGCTGTGGCCATTCATTACTCTGTCGTGGAGAGCAGGACACGGCCTTCAGCCTGTCCGTCAGTATTGGGAATTTTACCCTCATGGCAAAAGAAAAAATAATAATAACGCGTGTGTGTGTGTGTTTCATTCACTCAGACATTTACTAAACGTCTTCCCAGTCTCATCTCACTGGTAGGCTCATGCCATACATCTCTTGGGAGCTCTCGTGGGAACTCGGAAGAAACTTCAGGTTCTGGGGTGCCGGGGCGATTTCCTGGCGCATTGGCTGTGCTGCTGCGCAGGGGAGAGGCTGTGCGGGGTCAGCGGTGTTTGGAAAGAGCACTCACTGCACGGGAAGCTAGGAAACCAGAGGTCAAGGGGGGTGTCAGCCACTTGCTAGTGGGGTGACATGACAAGTCACCAGGAATCTCGCAGGGTTTATTCTCTTTAGGAAAATGGGTGGAGGGAGGCTTGGACCGATTGCCACATTTATGTTCTTTCAAGCTTTGGGAAATCTGGCTTCATGATTATGAATCCCAAGTACAGCAATGAGATTAATTATGAAAACCAAGATTTAAGTTCAACTTGTTTTTCTAACGACCCCATAAATCTGTTAATTTTCGGCACTTAAGTTTCATGGATAGGAGCCTAATAAGATTCTTGTGAGGATGAAGGATATTATATCAGAAAGCTCATCATCAACCAAACAGCTATTTAAATGTTATTTTAAATTTCAGGCAGCAATGTTAGGGAAGGATTGATTAAAAATTAGATAAATCCAATACTCCCCTCTTGGGAACTCTAGGGCCTGATTCTGTAGAACCAGAATTGGTTGATTACTATATTTATAGTTAATCGTAGCCTGTTAAAAGCTATGGCATCAAAGTAACTAAGCCTTAGACCCCTACTTCCTCTCATTCCAAACAAGAGCTAAGGATGTCACGAGAGATAGAGACTCAAAGAGAAAAAGAAAAAGAAACTACAGCCCACTAACAATTGCCCAGGGAAATTAAGGGGACTAAATCATTATAAATGCTAAAGAAAAAATTCCTTAAGCATCTATTGTTTCAGTGGCGTTTACCAAATCGATTATCTTGAAGTTAATCAACTGTTAATCTAGATTGTTTCAAGATGTAGAATTCCCAGAACAGAATAGTGTTTCCAAACCTTTGATTTAGCTTTGATTAGAATAAGAATTAAATGTGAGAGCATCTTTTAAAATTATAAATCTACATATAATTTTCAGACATTAAGAATGATGGTTTGAAGGACTTTGAAAAAGACCAATTGAAAAAAGATACAAAATTGCATTAATAGTGTAATTATAATATTATGTTTGTAAATAAATATTTATATAAATATATGCACAGAAGAAAAAGAAAGACTGGAAGGAAACAACCATTCTTTTTTTGTTTTGCTAGGTTTTCCTAAGTAGTGGATTAAAAATGATTTAAGCTCTGGCTGGTGTTGCTCAATGGTTAGAATGTTGGCCCGTAAACTGAAGTTTCTTCAGTTCAATTCCCGGTCAAGGACACATACCTGGGTTGCAGGTTCGATCTCTGGCCCAGGTCGAGGTGAGAGTAGGAGGCAACCAATGGATGTGTCCCTTCCTCCTTCCTATTCTCCCTCACTCCAGCTCTCTAAAAATCAATGGAAAAAATATCCTCGGATGAGGATGAACAAAACAAAAAAAAGTGATTTAAGTTTTCTTCTTTAAGCTTTTCATATTTTTCATATGTTCTAAATTGAAGATATATCACTTTTAGACCCAGAATAAGATTTTAAAGTGTAAATCTCCGTATAAATGCATAGTCATTAATATCATCTGTGATATTTTAGGTCTCAGAGAGATACTTGTCCCACAGTGCTGTTATTAAAATGGCCTTAGAAAAGGACTACTAAAAATTTATGGCCACTTTTCCTGTGTGTATCTTCTTTTTCTCTTGAAAAGCTTCCTTTGAAGTCAAAGAGATTTTGTGAACAGATGCAGAAATATGTGAAGGAAGAATTGGATTCTTAAACCAGATGCATTAGACATTTTTATGATATCTCATAACCTTTGTAGAAAACAAAAATTATTTTGCAAGAGAGTAGTATAATAGAAAGAAATGTATATTTATCATATGGATGATCCTATCTAAAACGAAGAAACAGCTAAATTGCTTATTAATAGTTTTGGCTGCACAGTTACTCCCTGAGGTGACAAGCAAAAGTGGTGGAGCTATAGCTCCTTTGTTAGAAACCATGACTGATAAAGTATTGTGATTCCTCGGTAGTTTTGTTTTCTTAAAAAAGCAAAATCTTGGGTAATAAACTTGCCATTGGGGACCTTTAATTATCTCAGAGGCAGGCTTTTGCGCCTCAAGGCTAGATGTAGAGTCAAGTTTAAAATAAAAAGGAGGGGGAAAACAGAAATAACAGAGTATCAAGCAATAGTCATTTTGAGATGCCTACAACTTATATGAAAGCGGTTTATTTTGCCAGGTGTTGCCTGACAGAAAACTGTTGAAGTCTGACAGGATGGGAGTAGTCCCAGAGTCAGAATGGAGGTCTGACATGTTACGTTTAAATGCTGCTGGCATTAGGTAAATAAAAGCCTGTCATCGTTAGTCAAACACAGACTCCGTACTTTCTCAAACACTGACTTAGGATTTTATTGCGCAAAGAATGCAATATTGATAGTTACTGGAGTTTTGCGTGCATATTTATAATTACTCAGTTGAAATATAGAATGGCCTCATTTTATCACACTTGAACAACACACTTTGCTATTAACTGTCCCAACCTGGGTTTGGCCCATACTGTATTAATATACTGTTCCTACAGCTAATGGCCACCAAGTGTAGCCATTAGATGGAGGAATTATGCCTGCAAAAACAATAGACAATGTATTAGGTTTTTGGATCTTGTATTTCTTTCTTACAATAAGGCTTTTTAAAAATTGCTCTGTTTAAGTAAAATTATTTTAAAATAATTTTAGATTTACAAAGTTGCAAAATTTGTACAGAGTATTCCTATGTACCCCTCACCAAGGTTCCTCTTACATAATCACAATCCAGTGATCAAAGCCAGGAAATTAACTTGGTGCAATACTAGCAGTTTTTCCATTAGCCTCTTCCTGGTCCAGGATCAAATCCAGGATCCCGTACACATTGCATTTAGTTGTCATGTCTCCTTCAATCTATGGCACTTCTGAAGTCTTTCTTGACCGTGGCACTTTTCAAGAGAATTGGTTGATTATTTTGTAGAACGTCTCTCAATTTGTGTTTGATATTAGACTGGGTTATGGATTTTGGCAAGAATACCACAGAATCCCTGGCCAGTGTGGCTCAGTTGGTTGAGCATTGTCCCATGCTCCGAGAGGTTGCCGGTTTGATTTCTGGTTGTGGGCTCAACTCCTCTGCTAACAGGCATGTGGGAGGCAACCAGTGGTTCTCTTTCTCATCGATGTTTCTGTCTTCCTCTCCCTTCCTCTCTCTTTCTCTCTCTAAAAAAAAAATCAATGAAAACATCGTTTTTTTAAAAAAGAACACCACAGAAGAGATATTGTTCAGAACAAGGCTTTAAGGCAGGTATTAGCACCTTCTTTTAAATCATGAGGAAGTAGACTTTAGTTAAGTAACTTGCCTAATGTCACAAAGCGAATTAATTGGGGAGTTAGGATGGTAAAATTTACTAAATGGGGCTTCGTTCCATATTTTGCAATTAGTATTTGTTATTGTGGGTCTGTGATCTAATGACATTAAACATTACTGTTTCCAGTGACTTTATCCTTAGCTCTTCTCTGCCTTGTATTGTCTGTCCAACATGCAACATGAGCTCATCAGCATGGAGCACTATGAGGAGCTGCTGTAGCCATCTGGGAATTTTGCTGGATGATAACTGTGCCCGTTTGATCAGTCTCTCCATCTCTCTGTGGTTTTCTTAAATGGTAAATAAAGGTATTGCATGGATCTACTCTGAAACTCCTTTTAAGCTCGGTCAGTCTTGGAGTCTGTTTGTTTAAAATGCTCTACCAGTATAGGTTGGTTTTCCTTGTGAACTGACTTAGCTTCTTAGAAATAATATTTCACTTTAGGAAATATGTTTGAGTTAATAAAACTCGTGGTATCTGCTAAAAATATCGAGGAGGAATAGTAGGTCAATGCTGAGGATTTATGCCAGCAACTATTATGGCAGCTACAGCCAGGAAATGCTGAAGAAATTGAGGCCACTGACCCCAGATCCTTTCTCAGCATATCTGTTGCATGACTGCAGGTTACAGAAGAACTGACTGCAGAGGCTTGCACAATTATATATTTATACATTACTTAAGCCTACATATATATGTATATACACACATATCCCTATGTCTTTCAGAAAAGGAACAGCTAGTGCCTGCTATATGCTAAAGCCTTATACTATGTGCTATACATACTTTATATTATTTACTTCTCACAACTATCCTGTATATATTATTTTTTATATATTTTTATTGATTTCAGAGAGGAAGGGAGAGGGAGAGAGAGAGATAGAAACATCAATGATGAGAGAGAATCACTGCCTCCTGCATGCCCCACACTGGGGATCAAGCCTGAAACCTGGGCATGTGCCCTGACTGGGAACCGAACTGTGACCTCCTGGTTCATAGGTTGACACTCAACCATTGAGCCAAGCTGGCCGGGCTTACCCATTTTATAAAAAAGGAAACTAAGGCACTAAGAGATTAGGTCACTTTCTCAAGTCACAGAGCTAGGAAGTGGCCGAACCAGGATTCAAACTCACCCTTGCCTATGCTTTTCCCATTTGCCCAGTAGTGGTGTGTTATCAGATGTAATCTTATATGAACCCGGGTTAGATAAATCAGATAAAAGCAGAGCTTTTCTGGTTGAAGGAGTAGCGGCAGCCCTGCTTGTTGACCTCTGCACCCCACCACGCCCCTCCCACCAGGGGCCTCTGA